GGAAAAAAAAAAGAAAAAAAAAACAAAATTAGGAAATAATAACTGCTCTTTGGGGGTAAATATGAAAATCAAAGAGACAATTTCGACTTAATAATGTGATGTTGCAGATATGTGATAAGTATTTTAAGATAGATATGGAGCGTCATTATTTCTACATTTTATCTCTTCCCCAGCAGTATCCGGCAACAATGGCTTCTCTCCAGTGGGCGGAGCCACCCTGGGCTGCTTCAAAAATAAAAAAAAAAATAAAAAAATAAAAATTAGCCCATATGTAATTTAATAGCTCAGGATTATTTGTGAGTTGTCAGCCTAGCCCAACAAGCCCAAGAAAACCCGTGCCCAACTCAACAAACAAATAGTTTTATTTCATTTAATAACACCCATACGCAATTGACACAATTACACAATACAAATCTTTTTTAATTAAATTTTTCAGAAAAGGGAAATTATAAGAGACCGTTATCCCCGTCCCGTCCGGCCCTTCCTCACGACACACTAGTCACCTCTCCTAGAGACGGACCTACAAGAGGTCTAGGGTGCCCGTGGGCCCCTCTCAATTTTCTTTTAAAATCATTATATATATATATATGTTAATAATAATATAAAAAATGAAAAAAAATGTAAACAATATGTAAAATATATAAATAATTATGATTTATTCTCAATGCTATTTTAATTTAAAGTAATAATATTATTTATTTATTGAAAAGTATACTAACAATCATTATATTTTACATTTATGGATAAATTTTTGTAAATCAATTTAATGAGTTATAAAATCTAGAATTTAGTTGGATTGTTAGATTTTTTTAATATTGATCTATTGTATATTTGAACATTGATTTTTTACTTTATTTTTTCTTATGTAATCACATATTTTCAACTTTATTTATTTTTTTTATTAAAAAATGGTCATTTGATAAGCTCTCATCAACAAAAATGTTATGCAATGTGTTCAATTTAAATCAAATTTTGAACAAAAAAACTTATTTTTCATAAATTATAGATTTTAAACTTAAATTATAAATACACGAAATCTCATTTTTTTTCTTAAAAAAAATTTGAGGGTGATACAGATTATAAGTTCTTAAAAACTTGAAGGTACACATATTAATATCTATATTTATAAGTAAACACAACTTTATATGAAATGAGTGTTTCTACGTAAATTTTTTTTTTTCCGGAACGATAGAGTTTCTACGTAAATTACAAACTCGTTATTTAACATTTAAAATCGGGCCCCTGAGTGAAAATCCTAGCTTCGTCATTGCCTCGCCGTCTTGCTTGTCTCACATCCGTCCACTCGTCCGGCATCTGTCATCTCTTTCCCTCTCGGGTTTGTCTAATTTTCTATTTTATGTTAAAAGAAGGCTATAATTTCATATTTTGAAATCTTGCCCTTTTGATTTTTTTTTTTCTTAATTTTACCCTAGTTTTCACTATCTCTCGGCCTAAGTTTAATGTGATTTGATTAGTTATTATAGATTATTAATAGTAATTATAGATTACTAATAGTAATTTTACCCTAAGTTTGCCCTAATTTTCACTATGTCTCTCTCTCTCTAAGAGGTTAGGTGCTAATATCCTATGCAATAGTGATATTTTATTAGTTATTATGTATCACTAGTAATTACAGATTAGTTATAATAATTTTGCCTTTATTTTCAATCAATCTAAGTCTCAGGCGAGGTGCTAATTGCCTAATGTAATGATGTTATTTGTATAATTATTATATATTACTAATAATTATATACTATTAATAATTTTGGCCCTATTTTTTTATTTTTGCCCACTTTTATCTTGTTTTAATTTGTGGAAGAAAACCATGCTCTCATTTTTCAAGCCCAAATCGACTACGAATGATTCTTCTCATTTTCATGTGGAAACATCAACCCAAAATGAGTTTGAAAATCAACATACGGCTAAGTATCAAAGGATGAATATTGATGTGAGAGACTATGTTTTAGTTTTTACTAGATCCGGCTACGCGTACTCCAATATGGCAATATCCAATAAATGACCGTATCAACCTATTATGGAGTTTCCGCAAAGGCAATTCGGAGATCAATATTGGCGCTTTCAAAAAAGTTGGTACGAGCAATTTCCATGGATAGAGTATTCTCCTCAGGAAGATGTCACGTTTTGTTTCCCTTGTTTTATTTTTCAAGAAAAAGAGGCCCGTTATCGTGCATTTACAATTGATGGATTTAAAAGTTGGAAAAGAATTAATGATGGCAAACGATGCACCTTTTTTACTCATGCGGGAAGCCCTACGTCACCATATAACAATGTCGTGCAATCTATGAGTCTTTTGATGAATGCAAGTAATCACATCGATAAAGTGATGAATGTGCATACATCTGAGGAACTGAAAAAGAATCATTTGAGACTTATCACTACAATCGAAAGTATCAGTTGGCTTGTTTTGCAATGATGTGCATTGAGGGGATATGATGAATGATCATCTTCAAAGAATCAATGTATCTTATTGAGCTTATAAAGCTTATGGGCAAAATGGATGTCAATGTCAAAAATGTTGTTTTAGAAAATGTGTCCAGAAATGCAAAGTATACATCACCGGATATTCAAAAGGATATTTTGCATATATTTGCTGAAAGAGTAAGGAGACAGATTTGTGAAGAGATTGGAAGTTCAAAGTTTTGTCTCTTAGTTGATGAAGCTAAAGACATATCGACAAAAGAACAAATGACTATTGTCTTAAGGTTTGTTGATCGTGAAGGATTCTTAAAAGAGCGATTCTTTGATATTGTGCACGTACCTGATACCACTGCTTGGACACTTAAAAATGCGATATCTAATGTGCTTGGTCAATATGGGTTGCATATCAAGTATATTCGAGGTAAAGGATACAACGAAGCTAGCAATATGCGTGGATCGTGGAATGGTTTAAAAGCTCTTTTCTTAAGGGAATCTCCAAAAGCATATTATGTACATTGATTTGCACATAGGCTTTAGTTGGCATTAGTGGAGGCTGAAAAAGAGAGCTCTATTTGGCTATTTTTTTCAAATTTGATGTCAATTAGTAATCTCATTAAGGTTTACAATCCACCCAAACTAGTGAAGTTACAAATATGGTAGCCATCGGTATTCGTGACATATGTTGGAAAAATCAGTTGTAAAACTTGGGTTTGACCCGGTTTTGACTGAATTTTTGATGGCTAAATATTTAATTTTAGTTGAATTAAATATTGTAGAAAAATTCTACG